TAATAATAATAATAATAATAATAGTAATAATAATAATAATAATAATAATAATAATAATAATAATAATAATAATAATAGTGACGAATGTAAATGAATACATATGAAAATCTAGTCTCTAAAAATTTATAATCATTAAAAATGAATTGATGAGTTTAATAATGCGTTAATAAATAAATTTATCCAACCAAACTTTTTACCATATTTATTTTTGCCCACATATATATCATTCAAAAACGCAATAATAAAAATAATAATATCAACCAAGAGTAATACAAATATATCGATAAGTCAATAAATCAATCAATAATAATTAAATAATTAAATGAATTGAAAAAATAAATGAAATCTAAATTAAATTTTATTTCTCCCAATTACGACACTGAAAATATGTCATCACCATATTCTGAGCCTGCATGACTACCAGCAGGACTTGTACAATAAAGGGAACTATTACCGTCCATATCATCATCCGAAACATGGCCCATTGGTGACCCCGGTGATGGACTTGGCGGTAAAGGTGTATTTACGGCTTGATTAAATGAGCTAAAAGGTGATACTCTACCGGACAACATAGGATTGTTCAAGAAAGCACTGGTCTGTGATGTGTGACTTGTGATATTTGTGTTAACAGTTAATGGTGTCGATGGTCGTTGTGGTGACTGATTTTGACTGGATATAAGATGATAATTTATATTTGTATGGTTTTCTGGTGATGTTATATATATTGGAGGTCGTTCAGGTTCGTTTTTGATTTCAAAACTATCGAAGTTAAAGTCGAATGGAACTAAATTGTATAAATCCGTTTATCAAACACAAAAATAAAATTTTTCTCTTAATATTTTTGTTCATCCTTACTTTATCGCTAATATTAATATTAAAATTCTAATTAATTAAAATTGGTACTTACTCGTTGTTGAAGTTCCTTGACTATTATTCATGACCTCCCACATATTCTTCATAAAATGTTGTTGTAAGGTTTGTTTACGTTTAGTTTCAGACAAATCTCTCATGACTTCAGTAAAATTTTCTTGTAATTGCCTAATCTGTTGTAATAATTCATTTTGAGCAACTTGCATCATAGCAAGATGAGCATGTAAATCACCAGTTTCACGTCTTAAAGTTTCAGATTCCATTGCTTTACGTTTAATATCATCTAATAAATCTGGTCTTCCTCGTAAAAATTTTGGATGAGAAAATTCCCAAATTTGATTTTCTGCTAACGTACGATGTCCGCGAGGTGATTTATTAACTTTATGGAATCCATACCTTATAATTTTTTTAATATATATATAATTAACATATATAAAATCATCAAATTTAATAATTGAAATATAAACTTACATGTTAAGTTGTCTTACAAAGCTTGAAAAATTGTTGTGTTTAAAATGTTTTGGTAAAACGTCACGAGAAAACTCCATAATGTTACAAACAATAAAGGAAGAGCCGGTGTAGTTCCAAGCAATAAGATGTTGATATTGTTTATCAACAACCATGCTTTAAAGTTCAGTAATTCACACATACATATATAAAATATATTTGAAAATAGATGTAAAGATCGAAAATAAAGGAAAAAAAAGATATTGAGCAAGGATTTATTATATGACTTTTTTAGAAAAAAATTAAATATTATCATAAAAGATTAAATGCTATTTATTAAGTACAAAAAAAAGATTAAAAAACTTTCTTTATTCTTTTTATTATTAAAGAAAAAAAGAAAACGCATACTTGTAAAGCTTATGAACAAAAGTATTACTACTCATCTTGACAGGTTGTGCAGATGGAGGTTGAAGAGACATAATTTGTGAACTATTGTTTAGTTGATTTGTGGGAGTTGTTGGAGAAGTGCTAAGGACTGAGGGCGATGAGGGTATAGATGTTATATTGAGTGCGTTCATTTGACCGCTTGAAACAGTATTATTTACAATGATAATGTTTTCTTGATTATTTCTTTTTAGAAAATTTTTTTTTTGATATAAAGTTTTTTTTTAATCATTATATGAATTTTCAATGGCCATAAAGACATGCTGCGTATTTTTAAATATGGCACTCTGTTTCCGTGGTACAAAATTTTAAATACTAACGCCACAATTGTACATGTGTACTACGTACAAAATTAAAACCTTCTATTCTCAGTTAGGAATTTTCCAAATTTGAAAATCTATTCTAGAAATTTTTGTTGATCAATTCATATACAGTCATATCCCCCTTTTGTATCAGTACTTTTGTGGGATATAAATGAGGTGGGATATATCTCAAGCAGTTGATCATTTCATGCGACTTTTAATTTAAAATAAAATTTTTATATATCAATAAATTCTGTTAATAAGGATTAATGTTTTGCTTTATCTACAGAACTATTTAAATGTTTATTAATTCACTGACATATTCAACATCTTTTTTTGTAGCAAATTCTTGTTGTTATAAGAATCTTTTTGCAGTTTCAAATGCTTTTCTTCCTCCTTCTATAGAAATAATAAATTCCAGTTTTATGAATTTATAAATTTTATTGAGTTTTATTTTTATTATTCAATTCTTAGGATAAAAGAATGTGTACATATTATGACCAAGTTTTTATACATCTAAAAAAAATACTTTGCCACAACTATGAAAAAACAATCTTTTTTTTATTGTTAAGAGAAATCAGCCATGTCTTTCTTTGTTGTTAAACTAATCAACCAAGCCTCCACCAAAAAAAAAAAAATAATTGATAATTATTTCTTTGTTGTTAAAGGAATCAACAAACTCACCACCAAAAAAAGGAGATTAATTTATAATTAATTCTTTATTATTTGTTAAAGGAATCAACCAACTCACCATCAAAGAAAAAAGAATAATTGATGATTAATTTCTTTGTTGTTAAAGAAATCAACCAAGTCACCACCATAAGAAATATCATTCACTAGTCAAAAAAGGACAGTTCAGAATAAAATCAGTGAAAGATTGGGCATCTGATTTTCTACCAATTTTTACCTATTGTAAGAACAGTTACAATTTTCTTATATCCAATTATTGTTGAATTTTGGCGCACTCTGGCAACATTCAGTAACTAAAAGGCAAAAATCCAGCATCCAAAAAATTAGTA